GTCGCGTTCTCTTTTCTTTTGTTGGTTGTTTGGGGGGGGGGGGGGGGGAGAGCAACTTTGAACCTTTTTTCCTCCCTCACCCCTCCCCTATTCCATAGTATTCCCATATTCCAAACACATCCACTTTTTTGTAAAACTTAGTGATTTAAAGGTCCCCCATCCACATAAAGAAAAAATAAGTTACATAATATTATAACTGGCTTTTCAATATTCTTTGGGAGTCTGGGAATGTCAGGACAAGGAGGTCTGCCCCAGACAAGTGCTTGGCATCAGCAGCTGCCCCTTTATTACAAGCTGGACAGGCACCAGTTACCCACCTGCCTTTACACAGTTTGCACAAACCCAAAAGTCCAGACAAACGTTTCTGTTCCTTGTATTTACACTAGTTCAAAATGATATTCACAGCATCTTCTGAATTTTGGCCAAAAGTCAAAAATTTGTTTCAAACTTTGGAACGCGCCCACACAGACTTTCACCCAAGGTCTGTTGCATGTACCCAATCGGGGGGCTGGGAAGGTCAGGAAGAGCCTTACAGATTCTTCTGTCAGTCGATGGGATGGGGACCTCCAGGCTGGCACGCTTAAAATACAAGATGCAGCTCATCTAACTGGCACCAGTCCCTTCCATTACTTGCTGGGCCTGCTTCTGCCCCATACAGCACTGCGCAACTGACTGGAACAACCTGAACACAGAAGCAAAGCAGGGTTAGGTGCTTTAAGTGTACCCTCCATCTGGAGACTGTGGTCCCCATCACCACAGGATAGGATAAACTCCCAAAGGCATGTGAATTAGCAAGTCCTGTGTTGGGTGAAGGGGCCAGACTTGGCCCTTTTTGGGGGATACTACATCACAGAAATGCAATGGCCTCAGTTCAGTCCCCATAAGAATAAGGGGGAACAGCAAGAAATAAAGCCAGGTGCCATCTTTGTGCACTACCACCATGAATGACCCTGTTCACATTAGGTAGGAGGCGACTCTGAACCATCTGTACCGAGTTACTGGGGGCAGTATCATTTCCACCAATTTCCCAGTTCCACTATCATGTATGCATCTCTAAGATTTCCTCCGCAACCTAAAACCTCATTGTGGAACAAAAGCTTTCATACAAATTTCAGATTTGCTGGGACAAACAGATGGCTTCACCTCCTGAAGAACACATCTGATTATATCAGATGCTATTGTGAAGAAGCAGTAATAAAAGTCCAGCTGGCTGTGCAGTCACTGTTGTAAGACAGTAGCTCTGCCTGGGATTTTCCAAAACCACCCTCTGTTGTGGAAGAGCAGCACTGACTTTCATAAAATAGTAACAGAAAAGCAAGTTATATGGAAACAAACTGTATGTATAGCCAAAGGGACAGAGAAAAAACTAGTAGCCAGCTCCTGGACTTCAAATAATCACTTTACGTTTTGCCCCAAGATTATGTTTCCTCTTACTACTGCCGCAATTGGTGCCTCCACTACGAAGCTCCAAAAACTCAAGGTGTAACTCAACCCGTTTCAGATGTATTGTTTTAGTGATTTAACAGTTAAAGTATACTCACTTCTCAATCTCTGGAGCACAGTGAACAAACTCATGATTCCAGAACTTAAACGCTGGATTTTTTATCAGCTCAATGAAAGTAATGAGGAGACCCCAGGGATGAGGCCTATTTACAATCAGTCGTTCCAAGAGAACCCTGAAGTCCAAAAGTAAAAACAGTTAGAGCTCAAGATCTGAACTACACAGGGAAGAAAAAGAGAAGAGGAATGCAGGCAGAGTTAAATGCCTTCCCCCTCTCACCTAGTGATCTGCTCCTGGATAGCCTCAGTGTTGGCCTCTGCAAACAGGTAAAGCATGGTGCAACTGAAGTAGTGGGTGTGACTGTTGGGATATCGCAGCTGATTGGCAATTGCATTCAAGAAAAGGTACCGACCTGCAGAAGAGGAATAGTACAGTACATATAGTTTTCCTTAAACACACAAAATAGGAATAAAGAAACAACTAGCACTGCTGAAGATTAAGGTTTGTGAGTCTGTCCTATACAGCTACACAAAACATAATTAAAAACAACTGAAGATATGAAAAAACATCATCAATCCAAGTTGATGGAACAGTGAAATTTGATTCTTCTTCATCAAACTGATTTCTCATTCCCTTGCATATCTTGAACATTTGCTGTTAATATTTCTCTTGTATTTAGAATTTAATATTCTAATGTATCATTACTTACTACGGATTCACTAGTAGCTACACAAAACGCACCTTCCGTACTTCTCATAGCTCAGACAATCTGCTATTAAATGAGAGATCACATGTACTAGAAGTGTTTCCAGCTCACCTTCAGTGTCCAGATCTACGGCCAAATTCTGGAAGATGTCCATATGAGCCGAGTGGGTGATGGTGCTCATAGAGGGTGTGCTGCCTTTGTTGTGAATGTGCGCAATAGCTTGAGTACCTACGTAGAGCACCAGTGCATTAATGAGCTGGATGTTGTAGCGGTTGCCAGGTTCATTTGATACCTAACAGCAAAGACAGAAGAAGCATTAATATTCTATATGCCTTCAGCAATCGAAGGCGCAGCGTTCAGATATCTTCCTGATTATGCAGAAGGCAACACACTTAGTCCATACATTCAATTTGGTACTTGCCATTTTGTAATATTGTGGGTATATACCCAAAGGTACCAGCAAAGTATTGAAAGACCTGACAGACAACTTCCGCACTCCTTACTGAAAACAATCAGATCAATGCATCCGAATTCACCAGTGGTACCACAGACTGGTTGAAAAAAACACCACCTGCATGAACGCCTAATTGTAATTAATTTTCCTGAGAAAGTTCAACTTCAATCCTGAATACTAAGTACAGGCAGTTGGCCAATAACTCTGACCTGGACTTAGCTAATTTTTTTTCCCCTGAAGCACCAGCACGTGGATACATGGGCTGCAAGAAATAGCAACTATAAGTTCACTTGGAAACAAAATTTAATCAGATTCTGAAAAACTGCAGTCAAGTACAGTAAAACATGTTGAGTCTCAAAGTACAGTAAAACATGTTGAGTCTCAAAGTACAGTAAAACATGTTGAGTCTCAAAGTACAGTAAAACATGTTGAGTCTCAGACACGTCCTGGGTAAATAGTGCCAGACTTGTGACGGAAGCCACAGACAATTCTTCATCACTCAGTGGTAGGGGACAGAAAAGTGAGCTCGATGCCATCAGCTCTGACTACAGTCTTCTCTGCTTAAGATCTGTAAAGTTGTGTACTAGAGGCAGAGGCATGAGCAGAAGCATCATAAAGGTTTAGATAACCTTATATTTGCACTATGAGATTTGGCCACTCTGGGTCAGTCCTTAAGACAACCTGTAGATAAAACCAACTGCTTTTAAATTAGATCACTGCAGGGTTGCCAAAGTCAACATTCCTGTTTCCTTATGTCCCCCCCCCCCCCCAACCTTGATGAAACTACTTAGCACAGCGACTTAGTGTCCTGCTAGGCCCTGGGAGAAGAAATATTCAGAGAAGGGTGCATTTTCAGAGGCTTTTCTACTGTCTAGAACATGTGCTCACTATACAGCAACATACTTCCTGCAAGAAAGGATGACGACCCAGCTGATAAGATCATTTGTCTCAAGACTATTTGTATTCAGCACCCTCAGGAACCAGCCACTCACCTGTAGGTTGCTGCGCAAGTCAGACAAAAAAGTGACAGGAGAACGGGTTTTGAGATAGGAATCCAAGTCTTTCTTGAACTGAGGTGGCATCACTCCAGTGAAATTGGTAAGTATCCGTGGAGCAATATTAATCTCACTTAACATGTCCACCTGTCAAGAGAAAACTCAGTCAGCTAAACAGTAAGTAATCTGTGATCTTAAAAAAGGAGCAAAGTTCAAAAGCAGATCTGTAAGTGATATTACATCAAATACTGTTGTGGATAGCTTTTTTCTACCAGCAGTAAGTAGGAAACACTAGACCCTTCTCAGGTTTCAGACGAAACTGGTCTCTTCTTTTACGTGCAGACTGTGGTAGGTGAGTACTGTCTCAAAAGAATTGAGGCTAGAGGATAAAGAACCCAAGGGGGAAGGCCAAGGGGGAGTTCAGTCACCATCTCCTAATCTAAACTCAACACAGTTCAGTGGCTTTACAAAGAACAAACATCTATCCGTACAAGTCAGTAACGGCCTTCTTCAGTCTCAGCAAGAGCTAACTGAGTGAGTACTACAGCTTCACTCCTGCCATGCTGCGCAGTTCATGCGATCAAGAAAAACAGGACAATGTTAAAGAAACATGAGAAAGTTCACCCTGCACCAGTCATTCCACAATTAGGAGACTGGCATATGCCCAAGGATTTAGTCAGATAACATCAACACCTCTGGTCAATCTCCTATTATAGATCTCACAAAAGTCCTACCTTTAGGTTGGGGGTGAAAGGGTCTGGAAGCCTCATGTTCCGTGGGAAGGCACTCAGGATAAGGTTCCTTAGCTGGATACAGTTAGGGGGGATCACATCACAGAACCCATAGTGGTAGTCACAAAGAAATTCTGGGAAATCATGCAACAAGACCAGCAACACTCGCAGGGTGCCCTGCAAAAGAAAAAAC